ACTCAGACACTTATATTACTTATAAACTGTATGGCCGTGGCAGGCTTCTTGCTAACTGTTCTTATATCTTGAATTAACCCATTTCTATAAATCTATACCTTGTCACGTGGCTGGTGGCTGGTGGCTTACCGGCGTCTTTACATGTTGCTTGTCCTGGCGGTGGCTGCAGTGTCTCTCCCTCCTTCTTCTTGTTTCCCCAATTCTCCTCTCTCCTTGTCCCACCTATACTTCCTGTCTGGTCACTGGCCATCAGTGTTTTATTTATATACAGCGATATCCACAGCAAAATTATGTGCTACCAGTACAAGGACCAAGCACTTTCCTCAGAGCCACAAGGTCCCACTGTTTAGACAGGCACCTGGGCAGGTTATAATCGCTGTCGTTCCCTGGCAGAGATGGATGTGTTCCACCTGGGCTTTCTTTAAAAGTGACTTTTTAGGTGGCAATTTATGTACTATAAAACTCACCTATTGTAAGTTTAAAGTTCGATGGCTTTTGCTTTTAAAAAGTAAATTAACGAAGTTGTTTCACCATCAACAAAAAACAAGTTCTGAACATTTCTTTTGGTCCCAAAAGATTCTTTATGCCCATCTGTAATTAACCCTCTTCCTAACCCAGACAGCCACTAACATGTTTTCTGTTTGTGTGTATTACCCATGTTTGACTATTATAAATAACTGTAACCATATAGTTTGTGGCCACCTGGCTTTTTCACTTTACCTTATGTTTTGGGACTTCACCCAGTTGGGGACATGTTGACTGAAGATCTTTTCACCACTTGGTGTATATCCTGCTGAAGAACACTGAGCTAGCTGTTCTGTTTGAGCTCTTTTAGTGGCTAGGCTCTTGATTCTTGATGAACCAAACAGCATGCTATAGAAGGAGCTTTGCATTTGGAGCCAAGGTGCTAAGGTACAGTCTTACTTCCGGTGTTTACAACCTTAACTAATTGTATGGTCTGTTTCCTTATATGGAGTGGACGTAATTAACCCTTATCCTGCTCTGCTTCTAGGGTAGGAATAATAATCAAGTGAGGGGGTACATGAGGAGGACCTTGTGAACTGTGAGCCACAGGACAAGTGAAGGGTGCTGCACAGACGTGGTCCTTCAGCGGGTACTAGAATAAGTTGGGTATTTCTCAGGGTTCCTTTCTCATTTGTGGGACAAATGATGGTGCCTTTGAGGTGCTGAAAAACCTATGATCTTCTATGGCCTTTGGGTTCTTACTCTTTCTTAGCAAAGCCTGTTATTTTTAAGTATTTTGATATCATTCACTTTCTAAGAATTTGTTATTTTTCAAACTATTTTTATTAAGATTTTAGAGACAGCACAACATTGCATAGTAAGCCAAGCTTGTCTCTAACTCATGACCCTCCTCACAAGTGCAGGAACTATAGGTAAATGCCACCACGCCTACTGTAAGAGGATTGTTTTCCTTTGAGCAGATATCTGATAATCATAAATTATATATATGTGTAAATCTGCATAAGTGATATTCAGGTTTTATTAGAATAACCTTCAACTCCAAGGCCCCCTTTAGCTTCTCTAGTATCTCCATTGAGGGGTTCCACTGAGGCAAAGCAAAATCTAAGCTAATGTTAGCATCCTCTCATCAAAGGTGTTTAGCAACATTGCTGCATCAAAATAATTTTAAAGTAATTTAGTTATAGATTTTCAGAAGTGTTCAGACATTTAGGAACACCGATTGCCAAACCCTAGATGCCATGTCTACCCACTTAATTTTCAGAGTATAACAAATACTGTGTTTGCAAAAAGAACATAGACTTGGCCTCAAACCGAAAGAATTGGATACTCACTCAACTCAATGATAAATGTCCCAATTAATGTTCCCACACTTTCTAACTTAAATAGCATAGGTGACTTCCAGAACACTTTAGCTTGAATCTCCTGGAGAAATCCCAGCAGGGGCAACTTTCAAGGTAAAAGCAATGGCTGTCTTGTTACTGGAATCTGAAGTGCAGAATGAGTGTTCCTATTCAGGCCCTGTGATAGAATTGCTGGTCAGTCCAATGTTAGAACTCAGGCACTCCCAGTGCCCCGATTCAAATTACTAGACTGTCTCCTGACGAAAACAGCAAATCCCCAGACATCCCCAGCACTCCCTAAGGTTATACAACATGGGCTGTTGAGGTCAAATGAGTCTGCTCTTCCTCTTCCTACACCTCTCTTCCCCTAAGAAGGCCCTATCCTTCCTTGGCAATAACTAGGATGACTAGGGCTTCATAAAACCAAGAAAATGTGAGATTTTTATGTGCTAGGCTCAAAAGTTTTGTGCTAAGCTTTCATCCTGTGAATCTTGTCAAAATATTTAGAGATAACAGTGTGATACCACATACAGCTATAACATAGGTTTGCATAATCTCAGATGTCATTATGACAGTGTGTAGTCTTGTTTCTTAAGATGAATGTTTTCATTTCTGCAACTTAAGTCCTAATTCTGGCACTCTGTGATAATGAAAGGACCAAGCAGCTGCCATAGCAGGCTGCTCAGTCTTTTCTCAGAGATCAGGCCTCAATTTCAGTTTCCTGAGACTTGAGCAAGCAGTTTCTGGGAGGGCTATGACATAGTCCTTGCAGTAGCTCCCTTTCTGTATGTACTCTGACTGCTCAAGGTTCAGCCAATTGTTTATTGTCTGGGACCCCATACCAACTTAGAACTACGTGCATGGATCAATGTAAATGTGCAAGGCCAGCCAGCCTCCATGGCAGCTCAAGGACAAAGCCTGGGACTTGTGGAGGTCTGCCCCCAAATGATAACTGTAACCCTCAACTAGTAAATTCAAAGGTTGAAGACCCTCACCCAATCATATGACACCAAGGCTTGTACCACCCTATTTGCTTTTTTTCCCTTTAAAAACCCCTCACCCTGAGAGTTCAGGGCCATCCTCCTTCATCTGGCTAGCTAGCCAGTGTGTTGGACACGGACCAAGCCTGGACTTGCTTATTATCCATAAACCCCTGTGTGTTTTGCATCAGATATCAGCTCTGTGGTGGTCTTGTTCGGGGAGCTTGCGATGTGGTCACAATAATAACAACAGAAATCAGGTTTCTCATGCACCTATTTTATGTATGTATAATGATTGATATGCTTATATCTTGTTCAAAATCAAGTAGCTAATAATATTTAAAGCATGATTCAATCTGGATCACTGTCTGTCTTAATGATGAGATATATTTGCATGCTTCATCTAAGAGTGCTAAAGCAGTCCATATTTTTAAAATGTTTGTTAGTTGACAAAATATATACATATATGTGATATAGAACATGCTGTTTTTAAATGTGTATATATTGTAGAATGGCTAAATTGAGCTAATTTACATGTGTATTTTCTCACATACTGATTTCTTTTTTATGGTGAGAATACCTAGAATCTAAACTACTCTTTTCTTTCTCTTTTTGGGGAAGGATTGGGGGAGGAATTTGTTCTGGTTTATGGTTTGAGGGAATATAGTCCACCATGTTGGGGGAGGTTTGATGGCTGGCAGCATTACATTGGGTCAGCAGCTAGGAAACAGATACAGGTTAGGAAAATGGTTATAAAGTCTCAAGATTCCCCCAATATTTCCTCCAGCTAAGCCTCACCTCCTAAAAGGTCTACCACCTTCAAAAAAGCAACACCAGCTGTTCAAATGTGTCTTCAAATATACAAGTGTTTGAGGACATGAGTCTATGAGGTACATCTTATATTCAAATCATAGTATTCTATCCCTGCCTCTTATTGACTATGGCCATCTCATCATACAAAAATGTATTTAGTCAAATTTAGTTTTATAGTTCTGATAGTTTGAAAGTCCAAGGCCTCTTCTAAGATTCAAGGTGATTTCTTAACTATGAACCCATGTTAAAAAAAATCACAAAACATGTCACATACATCCATCAAACAATGGCACAGAGTAAGCATTCTCATTCCAAAAGGGAGGAAAGAGACATAACAAGAAAAGATCACACCAAAGGAAGACAGTAACCCAGCAAAGCAAGTACCAGGCATTGCAGCTCCTGGTCCAAGTCATGTGGTATCATCTGGGCACTAATGGGCTTAGGCAGTCCTTCCCCTACAACTAGTTTGTTTGCATCCTATACAGCCTCCTGCAGGCCAGCCCCACGTGGCACTTTCAGCTTTCCTCAGCAGATATCCAAAGTTATGGCATCTCCACTACCCGAGGAACTCAATAGTAGCTTAGGCTATATATATCTACAGCTTTGCACACCACAGCCTACCCAAGAGCTCTTATAGAGAATCTAACCTTGCTACACATTGTCTCATCGCAAAGGGCTTCTGAAGTTTGAAGTAAGCTTATATGGCCCCCTCAGTTTTGCATCTTGCATGCCTGTAAATACAGCACTGCATCAAGTTTGGTGCCAGCTCAAGATATATGTGGGCCTCTTAGATTATAGCTACAGTGGTTAAAATTTGTAACAAGTGCATCTGCTACACTGTCCTTAATTTAGGTCCATATAGCTTTCCTTGTCAAATGTCACATTTTCTCTGTATTTCTGTTCTTTTTGCTCACCATAATCGGGCTAAAAGAGGTGAGTACAAACTATGCCACAGCCTGGATATTATGCTGTCTTACAATTTCTTCTGCCAAAATACTTCGTTACTTTCTAATTTAGCTTCACTCAACATTTTAAGATATGGAGCAGAAACACAGTCAGGTTCTTTGCCATAATCCATCAATGATCTCTATCCCAGGTTCAGATGTAGTCCTTCATTGTCCTGTGAAAGCTCATGAGCAAATTTGCGTCGTCTGTCTTTTTATTGGCATTGCAGCTTCCAAGCTGTCATGAGGATCAGCACTCTTGAGCATTCTTGGACATGTTTAGCCTGTAGTTTCAAATTTACTCACTTCTCCCACAAACCAGTTCAGAAAGTCTATGACCCACCTCAGCTTTAGCGAAGCAATGATTCCACTACCTGGTACCAATTTTCTGTACTGGTTGTTTTTCTAATCGATGTGACCAAATGCCAAACAAGAAGAAATTTGAGGGATGCAGAATTCATTTGGCTCATATTTGAAGAGATACACCCCATCAAAGTGGAGAAGGCATGGTGGCAGCTTGCTTCATGGAAGACAGTCATGTGGCTGGGACTCCTCTACAGTCCGTCATAGTGGGGAAGGCATGGATGGCAGTGGATGACTTCATGGAGGATGAGTGTGCGGGTAGGACAGCTTTTCTTATACCTTGGCAGAACTCTTTTGGTAGTTTTTACATTGCGATGGCTAATCTTTATTGTCATTTTGCCTGAACTTAGAATCAATTAGAAGACACACCTCTGGACAAGTCTGTGAGGGCATTTCTAGAGAGGATTAATGTAGCATGGAAGGCCCACCATAAAATTTGTGGTACTACTCCATGGGATAGGGAGCTAGACTCAGTGAACGAGCCAAAAGAAAGCAAGATGAGTACCAAGAAACCGTCAACATTCTGTGTGTCTTCATTTAGCCAGGTGTGAGAAAACAGCCTCATGCCCTTATGGCTGTGCCTCTTCCATCACAATGAATGGGATGCTCTCAAGTCATGAGCCAAAATAAATCCTTCACTCCTTAAGTTGCAGACTTTCAAATATTCCATTATAGAAAGGAGAAAAGTAATACACACAGAGATATACGTTGCATTGTTTTTAATGACATGCACCATGTTGGGTAATAAGCATTTAATAATTGTTTGTGTCTAACATATTTGGTATCATTTGATTGAGATATCTCCAACGCCCCCCCCCCTTACCTAACAAATTCTAGTCACTACTGCTTTCTGCTTCTGTTTCACCTCTGCAGGTTCTGCATATAAGTGAGATCATGTGATTTCTGTCTTTCTGACCTGGTTTATTCCACTTAAGGTAATGGCTGTTTAATACAAAGTGAATGTCCTTGTATTATATACATGTACTGGCTAGTTTTTTTTTTTTTTTTAAAAACTTGGCATAAATTAGAGTCACTGAGGAAGAGAAACTCTCAATTGAGAAAATATCTCCATGTGATTAGCCTATAGTTACGTCTGTCAGTCATTTTCTTGATTATAGATTGTTCTGGATTATAGATCAATTTGAGTGGTGCCACCCCTGGGTAGGTGATCCTGGATGACATAGAATGCAGGCTGAGCAATCCATGGAGAGCAAGCCAGTAAACAGCACTCCTCTATGGCTTCTGCAACAGTCCCTGCCTGACTTCTCTGGGTGATGGGCTCCAAGCTATAAGAAAATGAACCATTTCCTCCTGAAGTTGCTATTGGTTATGATGTTTTATCACAGCAATTAAACCTTAACTAAGACAATATGGCATTGCAGTAGTAAGATATATTAGAATATATATAGGTACAGAAGTGTGACATTAAGTGCTCATATATCATGCACATGTACTGTAGTGTATATGTGTGTGTGTATACATGCGTAATATTAATTTTTTAAGGAATAAGTTGAAGCAGATACCATTTTTATATATCCTAAATAATTTATGATTTGGAAGGTAGGTGCCTACACAAGAGTAATGGGACTTAAAACCTGCATTTAGGAATATCTAGTAAAAGGTACTATTAAAAAGATTAAGTATTTTCTCTGTCTCATGACTCTCTTGTATGTTTCATGCTGTCTGATGCGGATATTGATTTTTTAAAAGCCTGCACTGAAGGGTGTGCTGCACATTTAAATAATTGTTTCCTCGTCTTCTGTGTTGTATTTCTTTTGCATGGATATATGTAATCAGTTAAAATGACTAAACCATATTCTTCAAGAAGAAAAAGGTTTCAATGTGACTGTTGAATACGTTTAACCAGAAATGAAAGTAAGATTTGACTGCAGCCTATAGGAAAAGCAACCCAACATCCACTGACTGAGAGATTATTTCCACTCTTTCCAACCCAGGTTCTCTGAATGACACTAAACAGGAGCTACAGTGACTGAAACAGCCACGAGCAGCTTGGCAGCATGGGGAGATGGCATCCACGCCCCTTCTTGTCAGTGCAGTGGGGACATTGGCACCACTGTAGAATGCCTGGCTTCTTAGCCTGACCGTGGGCAGCAGCTGTTGCCCTCTTCCAGATGAAGTGACACAGGAGGATAGAACAGTCCTAGTTAGATAGGAATTCACCCCTCTTTTCATCTAGCTCTCTCAAAAACAAAAACACTCTTGAAAAGGTCCAAATTGTAATGAGTTTTGGATACAGTGTCATTTCTAATTCTTAAGATAATTTTTGTCTTTTCAACAAATCAAGGCAATAACTTTAAAAGCCTTTACCATGTGCATCCAGTTCGTATCTTTATATCCAAGTAGTTCTTGCACTTATTTACCCCAAGTACATTTAATATCTGAAATATCAAACAGCAGGCTTATAACTTCAGTTCTTTTTTTCCGTTTATTTAGAGCAATATTTATAAAAAGAATAAATTTTAAGCACAAGGAAGAAAGAAAACAAGAATTATGAAATCTTGTACATGGAACATCACAGTCCTAAGTAAGTACATTATGGTGTAATTTATATTAAAAATACTCAAGGAAATACAATACATTAAAACCACTACACTAATTATACAGGTTTCTTTCCAGAGTGATTTATCTTTCAAAGATAACTGAAAGTAAATACAATTTGGAAAAATTACAAACTAGTGGGATATTACTACCAAGAGAATATTCACTCTTAGGATAAAATAAATGTGAAAAAACACACTATTAAAATGTAAGAACAATCAATTTAAATAATTACATTACTAAGCTTACATATCCAAGTCAGAAATTAAAACGTATCATTTCACCATGAAGTCACTGATTATTTATGTCTAGTTCTTGTACAGTGTTCACATTCTAGGGAATGTGTATGGCTCTGAGCACACACTAGGGAACAAAGCAGACATGATCCTGCCCTCAGGGAGCTTCCAGTCTAGGGTGACATAGACAACCACAAAACCCCAGGAGCAGTGCTGGGCAGTGGCCTCCATTCCAGAGGAAGCAACAACTGAGCCAAGATCTGCAGTGTAGGGGTCAGTTGCCCAGTGGTAGAGGGGCAAAGGATGAAAAAGAGAGCTTCAGGTAGAGGGTGACAGAAACATAAAGGGTTACAGTGGCTCCCGTCCAAGGGATCCAGAGACTTGCGGCCCACAGTGAAGTTTTGCTTGTCAGTGAGGAGATGAGAACAGTATGGTCAGTCTGTCCAAAGCTAATGTCAATCCATTGTAACAACTGAGCTGACCACCATCTTGTTTTCTAGCATTCTAAAGAATAACCCCTTTTAAAAATGAAATGGTGATAATAGATGGCATCCTATTAAAAAAAAAAGAGGACCTCATTTTTTATTAATAAAACGAACCCTGGTCTTATAAAATCATAGAGCCTGGGAGTTGCCATAGAAGACTCTAACAGTGGTACTGCTAAGCTTGGTGGGGAGGTGCAGACAGGCTAAAGAGGTTGGAGCAAGTTAAAGCATGGAGGCCTTGGGAGAACTCAGGGTTTTTAGCCCACAATCATGGGAGTGATTTTTTGCAAGGGAAAGAGCTGTGTTTAAGTCTCTGGAAGATCATTCTGGAATGCTGTGTGTAGACTCTGGCAGACAGAGGCAGGCCAGATAAGCAGCACTGTGTTGTCTCAGGAAAAGGAAGAGTACAGTCAAGTGTAGAGTGGAATTTGAGGGACAGAGTAGGAAACGGTGGCATTTGGTGAGTTGGCATGCGGGGTGAGAAGAGGGAGGGGTGGGTCAAGACTGATGCCTAGTCTTTTTTATCTGGAAACTGAATTGATTATGCCTCTACTGAACTGCAGAACGTTAAGAGAAAAGTGTATGGTGAAGGCAGGATTTGAGGACGCGCTGAACCGAAGCTATCTTCATGTATACATGTCCATTACATCAGTGTCTGTCAGGTCTGAAGCACAGGAGACAAAAAGTTGACCTTCATCTGTAAAGGGTATGGTCCCCAGCAATACGATCACAGCTGGGAAAGCGAATGGAGTTTCCCAGAGAACACAGCATGACAGAAAAGGACAGAGGACATGTCTCTCAAGGGCTGGAGGAAGAGGAACAGCATAGGGAAGCAGAGACACAGAGGCCAGGGAGCGGGGCTGAGAGGGAACACGGAGAGAGAGACCTATGACGAAAACCAAGGAAGGAACAGGAAATGGAGTCAACAGGAAGAGGGAGTGGAAGTTGTTACCAAATTAAGGAAGTTGAGAGGGACTGCGAGCTGAGGAATAGAAGGCACAGGGGAAGCCAGGTTACAGGGTGAATCTGCAGGTTCACACGGCTTTTCTAGAACAGTGTCTGACAATAGAACAGGTTAGCAGAGGGCAGGTATGTGTGGGGGTTTGAAAAAGTAGTTATTTGCTGTTTAAGCCTAGTTTCTCAATCATTGGCATTCAGTTGATAGGGAGAATTTGAAGACTTGTAACAACTGAAGACAATCAATAGAAATTCAAATACAGGCTATTGCTTGTCTTAGAAACCTAAATAACTTTAGGAGTGTACATGCTCTTTCCATAGGGACGTGGTACAACTACAAAATTCTCTGTGGATTTAAATACACTTAAGAATATAAAATGATTCCAATGACTTCTCTAGGGGAATCACATTTTAAAATACTTTAAGAATCACATTTTAAAATATCATTTAAAAGTTATATTAACTTTAGCTGTTGTCCATAGAGATCATATTCTTTAAATAATAAGTATCTTCGAATCGCTGCTGGGAGAGGAAGTTTCTCCATGGAGGCTGGCTGGCAGAGTCGCTGGAGTCCCATAAGTCTGCGAATTTTTAACCGGCACAGATGCCTTAGTGAGCAAGGATTCTCTAGGGAAAAAAAAAAAAGGGAAAACAATCAGAAAATCAAGAAGTTCTACCGGCTTCACACTTATGATGAAGGTTGTTTCAGGGTAACGTGAGCAGTGTTTTTCTGAAAATACACACATTAGTAGCTCATGATTTTGACCTCAATTTACATTTCAATTAAGTACTCTAACCCTTTCCTCATGATTTGAGCTCCAAGAGGATGGGAGTTCTCTCTGCATCTGTGCCAGGAGCCAAGTCTGGCTCCTGATGGGTGTCCATCTACAGGATGTTAACAAGTGGATTCGATTTTAAACAGCAAATGGCCACATATTTCTCCTTTTTCAATAACTAAATATTATACAGACATGTTTCTTTACTTCCTCTCTTTTCTACTAGGCTATCTGATGACTAATTATCAGTAAATAATTATCATCACTAGATGATTTCATTAATCATTCATGATTCAGTCTGAGGCTTGATTTCAGTGTCTGCTGTGCTACACACCAGATATTAACATTTACATATCTGATGATGTGCAAATATAATTTTCAATTTCTTACTTTATAGTAGAATTAAACACTGATGTTTTACATGGACAAAAAGAACCAATCAACGGGCAGCATAGTGTAAGTACACAAGTAAATGTTGGCCCTAGACTCAGTCAGCTGGGACTAAGATCCTGCCTATGTTACTGTGTGTGACCTTGCACAAGTAGCTTAACCCGTATAATTACTATTCTCATGTATGTAAGGTGCATAGCAAAAGTACCTCCTTCATAGGATCGTCTGAGGCTAAATACTTCACATAAGCAACTAGGAAAATCCTTGATACACTGGACCATAACACTCAATAAATGTTAGGGGAGAGGGGAGATAGCTCAGTAGGTAATATGTTTGCTGTGTGAGCACAGAGACTTGCGTTGTATCCCTGAAAGCAATGGAAAAATTCAGAAGTGGCGGTGCATGCTTGTAATCCCAATGCTAGGGAGGCAGAAACAGGTAGACCCCTGAAGCTCACTGGCCGGCCAGCCAACCTAGTCAGAAAAGCTCAGAGGAATGGCCTCTGAGGCTGGCTTCTGGCCTACATACGCTCATACACACCCACTTGAACTTCCACACTCATGTGGGCACACATGCACAAACAACAAAAGAAACATTAGGCATTATTCACTTCAGTGATGAAAATGATCCCATTTTTGTTATATTTGATTATAAAATTTCAAATTACATTTTTTCAACATTAAAACAAAGTTAGCCTTGGTGGCAGATGCCTGCAATCTCAGCATTTGGAGGCCAAGGCAGGAAGGTCACAGGTTTGAGGCCAGCCTACGATATGTATAGAGAGTTTCACACTACAGTGGGATGTAGAGCAAAATCCATCTCAAAAATAAATTAGGACATTTTCTACAAAATTGAGGGAAAATATTATGATCAAAATAGGCACCCTCCCATGTTTTAATAAAATAGCAATTTTATTTTGTTCCTTAACAAGTCAGCTGCCTTTCTATAGCTGAAGGAACCCTGACATCCAGTGGTTTAGCAGGCGCACAGCAAGCAGCCGACAAGCTGGTTGCAGAAATAAACCACTGGAATAGCAGAAAAGCATCCCGACGTCATTCTTACCTGGAGCATCTTTCTAAAATCATCACAACTAGGAATTCACTTGCAATAGAAACACGTGGACCATTAATTCTCGTTTCCTAGCAACATCTGTGCTCCTTATGACAGAAATAACAGTGACCATTTCAGGAAAAGCCAATGTTACCAAGTAAGATAAACAAGGCTCAAATCCTGGCTTTGTTGTTCCCTGGGCCCAAAACTTAGGGAAATTAATTTACACTTTAGTGGTGTTTTCATTTTGAAATAGCCAAATCATTTAAGCTTTTTGGATTCGAAAATTTTAAACATGAGACTACCTACATACACACACAGCTTCATAAATTGCAAGTATCGAGTAGATGAGTATCTTTGACTACCTCTCAGGTTATGAAATGGAACTTTGTTGGCCATAGAGGATGCTTGTATAGCCTTGACAACCTTCATTCTTCCTTCTCCCACCAACCACCACAATTCTGACTTGTACGGCAATCACCCCTTTGAAGTTTCATCATCTAAGTGATCTGTCCCTATACTAATTATAGGATGGATAAAAACTGTGACCTTCCTACCTTGACCTCCAAATACTGGGATTACAGGCATATGCCACCAAGGTTAACTTTCTTTTACTATTAAAAGAATGTAATTTGAAAGTTAATAATCAAATATAACAAAAAAGGGGTCACTTTCATCATTGAAGTGAATAACTCCTCGAATTTCTTTTTGTTGTATTTGTGTGTGTATGCCCACATGCGTGTGGAAGTGCAAGCGAACATGTATGAGCATATGTAGGCCAGAAGTCAACATCAGATGTCATTCCTCTGGGATTTTCCTATAGTTGGAGGATTAAAAAGTTATCCAATATCCTCTAAATATCTTTTGATCTTCAAGTTCTTTTTCTATCCATTTCTATCATATCATTTTCATGAAGAGGTTTTGATCATCTATTTTGGTTACCTGTGGCATGTATAATACAAACAGGAAGAAAAAATGGCTTTTTTTTTTAAAAAAACAAATTTCAAGGTAATTGGTTTTCTATAACCCCTTTGAAATGATCATTTTCAGGTTTTAAGGTTTCATGAATTTAGACGTTTTGGGCATATCTATGTTACTCATTGAAACAACTGTGTTTTTGAAACTTGAATGGTCCTGTGTGGCTACTGAGAGTCTCTTCAAGTTGGCTCATGGACCCTTCTGACCTTGTTAAGATAGTCACTGAGTTTCTTGGCTGCCTGGTGTGAGCAGATGCTCTAGGTTCATTCTTAATCATTTCCTTCCTCAGATCAGGAACTATCATTTATTATTTCTTTTTGCAGGAATTGTCATTTCCACACCAAATTCTGTGTGAGAGGGATGCTCAGAACAACTATGGTCATTGCTAATTGCAAGCTTTTCTAAGGATAAACACACACTCACACTCACATTCACATTCACAACTACACATACACAAATAAACAAATAAATAAAAATTTAAAGTAAAGGAAGTATTTGCTTTTACCTATTATTTGGCGGATTTCTGGCCATTCTCTCTGTAGTTCCAGCACAGACTTCAGTTTAGAACACAGAGGGACATAATCCATGTAATCTGTAAGGATACGGACAGTGCTGCCCACCAGGTGCTTCATCCATGGAACTGTAATGAACTCACAGAACTGAGAAAATTGATCCTAGTTAATTTAGTGGTACTTTTAATATATTATACACATGATCAGTATTGCTATGAAAAGTTACTCTTTGTCTTTTTACAGGAAAGAAAATATTCCTGCCTATGATGAACAAAAATGAAAAAGAGCTGCCACGATTATTTCTTTGAACTAATAATACTAAATGCATATTCATGGTTATCTTGGGACCAGAGTGAACATGGCATGGAAGATCCATTCTTTTTTTCCCTCTAGCCCCAATATCTCACCAATTGGATGCAAGTGAATAATTGCAAATACATTTTAAAATTGTTTGACATTCTGTTTCTAATCCAAGAAAAGAAATAGCCTTGTTTCCTATAGTGATAAGAAGTCAAAAATATGAAGCATATAAATTAAATTTGAATTTTCTTTGCTTGTAACATCCTTAAATGAGTGAAATTTTATGAATTAAATTGTAGATTATATATTTTACTTAGAGCATGGAACAACCTCTGGAATAGATTATATATACATTGGGCTATAAAACAAGACTTAATACTTTTAATACCAAAGTCATTCCAATGATATTTAATACCACAATGGTATATGTCTAGGAATAAGTAATAGGAAGAAATGTGGAAATTTCATAAATAAATAAAAGTTAAGCAACATACTCTTGATCAATTTTGGGGAGGTCAATAAATAAATCAAAAGGGTTAAAAAATCAAAACCTGAAGATTCTTGAGACAAATATGAGTTAGGATACCAAGCCAAAATGAAGGAGAGGGTGCAACTTACCGGGATATCTTTTATTATACAAGATGTCCATCCTGGCAGTCCCTCCTCCTCTATCTCTGACCACACAAATGAATTTCCAAAGATGTCTCCGTGCATGCAGTCAAAGCACAGCTCCACTTGGTAACCATTATTCAGCAAGAGCCTCAGCATAACCTCATCATTTAGGGCGTACTGGATGGCGCTGGGGAAACGAGTGTCATTCACGTACAAATAACAGTTGACGTTAGCTCCGTAGGAGAGAAGCAGCCGGACTATTTCATGTCTGTTGGCCCTCACCGCCACAAGCAGACAGTTGAGGGGATCTAAGTTGGGGTCTGCACCTGCAGCCAGAAGGACTTCTGTGCAGTGGATATCATTATTAGAGACAGCAAAATAAAGCGCGGTCTTTCTCTCATCGTCGTAGCTCTGGGAAATGTGGTCAGCAAGCAGGGCGTTGACGTCAAAACCATTATCAATGAGCAGTTCGAGGCACTGAGCATTTTGTCCATCTGCTGCTGAGTGAATTGGAGTTAGGCCACTCTTCCGGATTGCATGTTTGGATGTTACTGGGATGAGATATTTCAGAGCACTGCAGCAAAGAAACAACTCCTTAAACACCCCATTGCATAAAGAAAGCCAAATAATTAAATACAACTTTCTCGTCAGATAGGTGAATTCACTTTGTTTATTTTCCATATTTCCTCTATGTAACTCTGTATGTACTTGTTTAGCCTCTGCAAATCGAGATACTCCTGTTTCTGTTATTATTTTAAAGATTTATGTATTTATTTATTTATTTATTTATTATACAGTGTTCTGCCTGCATGTACCCCTGCAGGCCAGAAGAGGGCACCAGATCTCATTACAGATGGTTGTGAGCCAACATGTGGTTGCTGGGAATAGAACTCAGGACCTCTGGAAGAGCATCCAGTGCTCTTAACCTCTGAGTCAGATACTATTGTTTAACTTAGATGAGTTTTAATTTAGTTTTCCATTCTAAAAATTCCCAAGGAATATCCTGAATCTTACATGTTTGGTTCTAGGTTTGAGTCCTCAGGACTCTCTCCCCACTTTACAGTTCTGTCACTTAACAATAAAGTTTGTGTAATCAATAGATGTGATTGCAAAAATGCCAAAAAAGTAAACTCCCCTGATGGCATAGAAACACACTGCATAATCCTGACAACTAGAATCCATGCAGTCTTGGAAAATGACCTTGAACAGCATAAATCCAACCCTTTCATTTAAAGATGAACAATATATAAAGGCTTAAGAGGGAACATGACTTTCCAAGGTCATAAGCTCCACATGAAAGGAAGGGATAGAGTTTTAATCTTTTGATTCTTATTCTTTCTTTTTCATTGATTCCTAAGCCACCTATTAATATTGCCCATCTAAGTCTTGTCTCCTATACAACTCACAAGTGAATTCTTAGTGAAAATAAGAATCTTTAGTTTTCGATCAAACTTGCATCCATCCAGATAAATAACTATCCCTCGCTCATGTTTCAAAGTACATGTGATGAATACTTGTGAATTTCACACTTCACTAGCCATTTAGACATTTGTGAGAGCCACAAGCAAGGATAACTTGATCTCCTGTGCCTAATTCAGAGCTATCATGTGTGAATTTATGAACGCTGGGAGTAAATCCAGGTAAACTTTAACAACATGTCACTTCGCATCAATTATGCGTCATTGGTCCCTTAACTTTGCCAGTGTGGCCAGCAGATATAATACAACCTAGCTACTTCAAAGTTTTTGAACACATAAGATATTGTTAATTTCTTAAGGTCATTGTCTCTTGGTGGATAGTTTAATATTGTGATTCTAGACTTCTATTACTATGTTGATTATAACATATTTTATGGTTGAAAAGTCCACTCTACGGTTTGTGTGGGAACAGGAGGTCTAAATTTATAATGAATCTTTTCTATCCAATAATACATTTGCCATTTGCCTTTATAGTACTATGTACATCCTGACAATGCTAGGAAATGACTGGAATAAAGCACAGTATTATTACAAATTCTAATCCCCAGTCAATGGCACATTGTTTAGAAACTTTATAGCCATTTGTTGAACCCTTTTTTTTTTAAACACAGAAAGACATTCTTGCCAGTTGGTGAAGATTTCTCAGTTATAACTTTATTCCTCCTCAAGGAATACTTTTTATTAAAAGAATAGTATAAATTCATTCTGTGAAAATCAAAACTATAGAATGAAAGAAGAAAAGCTATCAAATCCATTCCAAGCATTGAAATACAAAATGTTCGAATATTTCCCTTTGAGGTTTGGGGAGCATCATGCATTGTAAGATTGTATTGTACACACAACTTAAAGTGATCACCTCAATGTCTTACTCACAGATAATGTCCCTCATAGGCAGCTCGGTGTATTGGAAGATGTCCTGCTCTGTTAGGCACGTTGCCGCTTCCTCCATATTCCAGCAAGAGGGAAATGCAGTCAGGGTTTCCACTTCCTGCTGCCTCGAATAACACAGATGCCCCATCATCCGCCAAAGCAAACACATCACCACCTGGTGGTGTAAAGCACGTGGCTTAGATGGCTGAGCAGTGTTAAGTTAGTCTGTTAAAGTCATCTGTTACCTTCCTTTCTGGTTAAAGCTTAACAATTTTGGTTTTTGTTTGTTTGTTTTTTTTAATAGTTTCAATAACAGCTAGGCAACATGTTTCATTTTATTAAACTTTCAGGGATAGGGAGTCACAAAAACATGATTGAAAACAAGTAGGTTGCCATGTTGGATGCACACTTCCAGAAATATGATCATGAGACTTACTTTGATGGTAGCAGGTAGCACTCTTTCAATCCAACAAATGTTTATGAATAGCTATGAGGTGCAAACACTGTATGTGACCCTAAGCTCAATTAGCTTGACTAAAGGAGCTTAAAGAGCAAATGAAGACATAACTAGAGGACAGACAGCATATGACACTGCAGTGACAGCTTTAGTAGGGTCATACTGGAAGGGAAGAAAGCCATCTTTGACTACGGATCTGCTGCTTACTCCATGAACTGGGATAGGGGTTTTAAGTGCCTCTATTTCTTCATCTGTAAACTAGTGTAGCATATTTCTAGAGGTTATGTGATAATTCATTAAGTTACTTTGGGAAGCATAAAAGTGCTAATTTTCACCCATACAAGATCCTTTGGCGATCCTGTAGTTCACTTATAGATGAGGAATCTGGGGCCTGGGTGCTTAACTAGACAAGGGTCTCATAAAGAGCAGGTGAAGCTAGGAGCTAGTAGTTGAACTTCTCCATCCCTGGTTGTACAGCTGAAGCATTTTGAGGTCTCAGGGGTAGAGAATGACACCACCTGTTGGAGAGACTTGGGAAAGACTTTATGAGAATGTCTCAGGAGACTGACTTTAAATTTTGTGGACTATTATTCCAACCGAGAGCAAGGATCAGATCTAAATTGAGGCAGAGAGAATACCCACATTCTATTTTCCTGGAGTGGGACACACAGGATTGGAATAGTGAAGTGTAAGCCTGAAAAAACCAATTCTAAATAATGCAGTTGAAGTGGTGTCTTGAGTAGAAGACATCACTGAGGGTGTACTTGAGGGAGAGGAATTAAATTGTAGTATATAGCATGGGTTCTCTGACAGGCAGAATGGAAACCTGAAGAATAGTTAGCAAATGCTCACATGGTCCAGGGAGGAGGGGAAGGACCTGACCAAGATGACAAGACAGATGGCAACATGAAGACCAGAGAAACGTTGGTATTTTGGTTTGGGAAAAGAAGTGATAGAAGATTTAGAGGTAGATCAAACCTCTCGGTCCCAGTGGAGGACTGTGACATCAACAAGTGGAAAAAGAGGAGGAATTCAGCAAAGATGACAGCTAAACCCTTCCCACCAAATCTATATGGAAATCAGGCTGTCGGGAAAAGGCATTTAGGACTGGTCACACAGATCTCTACCAGTCACAGTTCACAGGACTTTGGTGGTGGCTTAGGGGTTTGATGGGGGGCTAGGACTTAACGTCTCATTCATTTAAATTCAAGAGAAAGAGGAGGCCATGAGCAATGAAGAGGAGAGTCCAAGAGCAGGACAGAGTAACACACTTCACATACCTTTGTGGATCAGATGTTCCAACACATCATAGTGGCCATACTCAGCAGCAACTCCTAAAGGTGTGACTCCGAATCCATCTCTCAGGTGGACATTGCCTCCGTGGCTCAGCAGTAGGGCTATAATATCTTTTCGGCCTTGCTTAGCTGCTTCATGCATTGCTGACCATCGCTTGACGCAGGGTTGGTCAAGGCTGGTGTTGTATTTTATCAGTGAAGATACCATGTCATAGGAGCCTTTTTTTATAGCTTGAAATAATGTTTTTAAAAAAACAGGAATATTAACATGAAGTTGCTGTATCAACATGAGCACTTTATACAGAGTTAAGCTAATATCAAAATAAGTATAAGCTATTCCATTTCTTCTATAAAAGGATATTGTATTTCTGATGTGCTTTCTATTTCTCATGCCCAAATTTCTACTTGTGAAGGTTAAGTCTTCAAGACTTAGAGTGAGGTAAGAATTTCATGGCCTTGCTTAGCTGCTTCATGCATTGCTGACCATCGCTTGATACAGGGTTGGTCAAGGCTGGTGTTGTATTTTATCAGTGAAGATACCATGTCATAGGAGCCTTTTTTATAGCTTGGCTGATGGGGAGATCTAAGGTTATTTTATTTTTGCCATCTGAGCATACTTCATGAATAGATACAAAGATAGGGAATTAAGTTTAAAAATATCAAAAATGGAGTTACATGTAACAAGGAACATTCCCCCTCTTATCTCTCCTTCCCAAGTTAATGAACCATGAGTAGCAAATTTCTAAGTAGCCCCAAAGCAAAACTGTTAAGCTGACATGGATGATCCATTTTCTTATAAAACTTAAAAGTCCTATTGATGTCTCCATATTGCTAGAAGCAAGTTCAGGGAATTAAGTCAGATGCAATGACTTTTTTATTCCCTTAATTTAAGTATGCACCTTCATTGTAGCATTTAGGTTAACTATCCTCTTACACTTATATAACTCTCTTACACATTTTAAGCAAGAGATTAATCAGTATCTTTATATCCAGAATGCCCAGCAAAGCATCTGGGTTTAATATGACTTCTCTTTTTCCTGGGTAACCATCATGCGTGAGGATGTGAAACTCATTATTATAGTCTCCAGCCAAGATATAAGTCCACAGATCTCAAGTACCAACCCCAAATTCTTATTCCATCCCTGTGTCCTCCAGAAAATGCAATGCTATCTTGGGTTATAATATACATATGCACCTACACACACACACACACACACACACACACACACACACACACACACACACAGTCAGTCTAACCTCTTTCTCTTCAATCAAGAAATTCTTACTTAGCAATTAATAGAGGACATGAACCTGAGAAGCTGACACATGGCAAGTTGTGATTTGCCATCACAGGTGGCAGCTCAGTGTCTCTCACAGAACGTCCTCTTTCCTTCAGTCTTGTTTGACAGTTCTGATGGGGAACCGATATTCCAGTGTTTGTCATCACCTTTATTCCCTCTTCCTCTGTGAGCATCTTGCACACACAACCATCCCTTTCAGTTTGACCCTCCCTGGAGGGCATTCCTTTAGACTTGACACCTTGTCACTGAACATTAGGTTCCTCCTTGTTATCTGTACTCTATATTTGAGAGTTACACTATGTGGCCGTTTTTCATGATGCTCTTTGCAGGACAGCATAATGAAGTTCATGGACTGGTGAAATAGGGCTGGGAGCATGGAAACATTGGACAAGGGAAGGCATTCAGGCAGCCAGTTACAGCCAGTGTACAGTGGCTTCCAATAAACACTTGATAAATATTTGTTTCAAATTACAAAAATTCTAGAAAAAATAATTTACCAATCAGAAGAGGCGTCTCTCCTTTGTCATTTTTGGTGTTGGGCCAGACCCCTTTTTCTAGCAACGTCTTGACATTTTCCACCAGACCAGCTTTGACTGCCAGAGTCAAGGGTGTTTCTCCATCATAGGTCTTGAATTCCCAGACTGCCTTATAGGAAGCTGAGATGTAAAACCATTTTGGTGAGAAGTTAAACATATCTGCTTATGTGATTTTATGTAAATCAGAATTACCTGATATTATACACATAATATTGAGCAAAGTAATTAATGATAAATGGAAGGATAAGAGAACATATGATAGAAAGATTACCAAAGGACAGCGAGGATCAGCAGACACACATAGACTGGCTAATCCAGTTGACAACTAGGAAACCAACACCTAGGCTTCAACAAGTTTTCCCTTAAAGTAGGTTACTAATTCTCATTTCTGAATACATTGTAAATCAATTCTCCAAGTCTTTTAAATATGTAAATTGTATATGAGATTGGTTTTTGTCAAATGAAGAATATAAATGAAAAACATATTTGAATGGATGTCTCATTGTGTTGCAGAAGAAATATCATCAATGCTATCCCTATCTGTTAGTCTGGTCATCTATTTCTCTAATTGGCTAGCTAAGTATCAACTATTTTCATCTCTCAAGGCACAAAACTAGGAAGCAACACTGAAGCTTAAAAGTTAAGATATTCTTATGTGTTCTATAAAATGCTGAGATGTGCAAAAACACTTAAAACAATGTGTTAATTTATCACAGCAATGTTTACATTATAAAAAGATAAATGTAATATAAAGACAATTATATTATTTATTGTGAAATATAATGTATACAACAATTTATATCCTTTTGGAAGCTAGATGAAGAATAGTTGAATGTGAAATTTTTTAAATTAACTCTTAGAAATCTTTTATTTTTTATTTCTCTATTAATGTGCATGTGTGTGTATATGAGTGTATGCCACATGTGTGCAGGTGCCTGCTCAGGCCAGAAGAAGGTGTTAGATTCCCTAGATCTGGAGTTACAGGTGGTTGTGAGCTGCCTGATGTGGATGCTGGCAACCAAACTTGTGTCATCTGAAAGAGTAACAAGTGCTCCTAACTGCTGTTCTATTTCAATCAACTAATTTATGACCTTTGAAACACTTCTATCAATCACAGGTGGTAACACCACCTTCCTGCCATCCTATACCACATTCTTGGGTGAATGGATGCAAAGGCTGAATGTCACATGCCACAAGTTGTGTTAGTCTTTGGTTCTGCTTTTTTATTTTTGCTTGTTATATTCGTTTGGAACTCCTACAATGAATACATTTTTTCTCTAGTTTTGTACAAAGGTTGTTATGTTTTCTTACCATCCAGAACAGTCTCAAGTATCTGTTGAATGGGTTGAACAACAGCTTCATGCAATGGGAACCATCCTTTCTCATCAGCTTCATCCAGAGCATATTTATGTTGCACATACTCCTGGAGCTCAAAAATGTGACCTACATGAAATGTATGGACTCATTACACGGGCCCCAACAAGGTGAACTGTTAGTTCCACCTCATCGTAGATCATATGCCCACTCACCTTTCCTTATGGCCTCTACAAGCTTTCTGTTTTGATCACTTAGTGGTACCAGTCTAGCAGAGGAAAAACAAAACAAAAGAATCAAGCCATATTTGTACTAGTAATGTATTTTAAGGATCTGAACAATAAAAGTGAGTTTTAGTAAATATCTGTAATAATCAAAATTTGCAAAATAATCATATAGCTGATTTTCTCCACTTTAAATTTCCCAGGAGTCAGACAGAGAGTATACTAGTGAAGAGAGCAAAATACAATAGAAGGGTAGAAGGGGTCTCTCTAAATAATAGAAATGGAGTAAATGACTGGAGTCAGAGTCAAGGGCTTAGGTGCAGATCTGACTTCATGGCCCTGGGAAAGTCCATTAGCCTTTCTGGATGTTGGTTTATTCATCTGGGTGGGGTAGGAAGATCGCTAAGACTCTTCCAACTTTCAAAACGATGTGCTCAACAAGTGTTACTTGGTTCTTAGTAATTGCTGAGAGAACACTTGGGAGCTTTTGGCCCACATGCATGTTAGAAGTATGTTAGAAGTATTAATCAATTGATGAGCAGGTAGAACAGTTACTGACTATATTCCCAGTCGGTGGCCCAGCAGATGGCAATTCTCTGACACGTGCTTCTTAAATGAAAACAGAACCTTCAGAACAAAGGTATTAGCTCTGTTAAACAGAAACATCTGCTAACATTGTAGGGTTCTGAATGCCGTGTGGGGAGCTCTGAGGTTCTAAATTCTGTTGGAGGTTTCAGTACTATGAAAAAGTTAAACACCAGAAATTTTATGTAACATGCATATTTTTAAAATGTAAAAGGTCTATACAATCTGAAGAGAAACCAGAGTGTTACGTGTTCACTTTAGTTGGAGAACTAGTTAGTTGGTCAAGTGCTTCTTACATAGGCATAAGGCCCTGAGTTTGGATCCCCAGCACATGCCTGTAATCCCAGCACTGGGGATGTAGATAAGAGGATGCCTGGGGCTTTCCCAGCAAGGCAGTTTAGCTGAATTCCAGGTTCACTGAGCGATGCTCTTTTAAACAGAAAGGCAAGAGAAAACCACTCAGTATTGACCTCTAGCCTCCCTGGAGTTGTGTGTATCTCTGCCCATATCAGAGTAAGATATCTCTCTCTCTCTCTCTCTCTCTCTCTCTCTCTCTCTCTCTCTCTCTCTCTCTCTCTCTCTCTCTCTCTCACACACACACACACACACACACAAAGTGCATTGCACACACAGCTCAAAAGCAATAGTTTCATAGAGTGAGTATACTCACAAGCACTACTAAGTTCCAGACTATAAAATTCTAAGCATAAAAATAGAATGTAAAGGTAAGCTATGGTCTGTTTTTTCATTATGTATAACAGGTATTTATTTTTGCAGTTTAAGATTCTGTAGTTACAATTTTGTAACATCGATTTCATGAACCTTTTAATGTGTCTACTCACAAAGGTCAGTTGACAAGGTGGCAGGATGTGCCATATACAGACCTTTGTTTATTTTATGCTGTTCTTACAAATTTGTTCTAACTCTACGCATTGTCCTTCTTAACTCCACATTAATTTAGAATATAGGCAATTTTCAAACAAATTCAGCTAGGAATTCACCACTTGGAAAATTTCCATTTTCTACATGTGATGCATATTTGTAGATCATATTATTAAAATATGTGCATAATTGACATTTTAAAGTTGTTAGAATTCATACCAGAAAAAGAGTATGTGTATTGTGGGGGGAAGTAAGCATTTTTATAGAGGAGTGAGTTTCAGACAAAATGACTGACATACAGAAATCTGTTGAGAGCAGTTGGTTAAAATACTACCTTTCCGCCGGGCGGTGGTGGCGCACGCCTTTAATCCCAGCACTCGGGAGGCAGAGGCAGGCGGATCTCTGTGAGTTCGAGGCCAGCCTGGTCTACCAAGTGAGTTCCAGGAGAGGCGCAAAGCTACACAAGAGAAACCCTGTCTCGAAAAACCAAAAAAAAAAAAAAAAAAAAAAAAAAAATACTACCTTTCCAGATGGAATACAGCCTGGCTTGCTTCAATGGATTCCTGAATACAAAGCTGAATGTCATAACTTGCAAGATGGTCTTCATTAGGGTCATCATTAATATCCATATCTGCAAGTGATTTTGAAATAGATGACTTCTTATTCTCAACAAGGGTTTCAGAATAATTGGTATAATTAACGTAACAAATGCAAAATGAAAAGCAGAGTATATTTGATTCTCCTTGGTACAACATACAAATAACTAAGAACTTAATCCATGCATATGGAAACTGCATCTTATTAACTTCAGATGTTCTCTTGAGACCTTTAATTACCTGCCCCTTGAATGTCTGTCTTTGAACTTTGACTTTCCAGCACTGTCTACAGAAGGGCTCCTTGTCTTTTATCAAGCTTCTAATGGATACTAACTTAGGCCCATCATTTGACATACACATTGGAACATTAGAACTCAACTGCAGGAGAAGGGGGTCAGTCAGTAGTGATCCTTTCAGACTCTCTAGAGTCCTCAGATGTCAGCTCTGCTGCTCTCAGATCACTTGAGATGAGGGTTGTCTTAATGCCAGTTATTGACTAGGGCCGAGTACCCATTAATTCCCCTGATCATTTCTGTCCACTTATCACATGCCACTGCTTTTGACTGGTCTGTCTCCCCTGAGGATAATATGTAAAAATGAAAAAAAAAAAAAACCAGAAGGCCCACTGGTTTCTTTTTTAAACATCAAATTAAAAGAGTAAAAACCTGTCTTTAATGTTAAATCAGCTCCTTTGGTTATAGGCAGGAAGGTTAGTAAGTATAGAAGCTGAAAACTGTCCTCCAGTGCTATGACTAAGCAATATGAAATTATCATTAGTTGGCAGTATTTCCAAGCCCAGTGCATTCCTTCTGACATTTGACACAGCACTCTGCCTTTTTAAGGGGAGAAACAGAAACAAATTCTGCAAGCAATTTGCAGACACAGTTGACATATACTGTGTCCTCTCAGTTTTCAAGGTCAGATAATCTCGAAAGACGGCTTTAAATGTGCTGACAGTCAAGGTCCCCAACCTCTGGACAGGCTGCACAGAAACTCTGCAACATTGTGAGGATTCTTTTCTTCATTTTTCTGTACAGAGCCTTGCCTGGTGGCATCCTCTCTGTGGACCCAGCACTCAGGAGGCTGAGAGAGGAGGATCCGAAAGTTTCAGGCCAGCATAAGCTGCAGCAATGAGACCTTGTCTCAAAATGTCAAATAAAAACAACAACAACAACAAAAACATTGTTCTGTATAAGTTTTAGAACGGAGGGATAAACAGTGATGCCGAGAGACTGAATGTGAGACTGAGCATACTACCTAACACTGACATAATTGTCTCCTCGTAGGTCCATGTGCATATCTGGACTCTTCTTTGCCAAATAGATACAAATGGTACTATTTCTTTATTTATAAATTAGTCCATTGTCCCATGTCCATAGACTGTAACTACACAAGATCAGAGAATTAGGGTGCCTCAATGTATATCGAAGCACCTCTGCATGGTCTGGGCTAATAAATGAACGAGGAGTCACTGAGCTCTTCCTTCTTCTTACAACTGACCATTTCTCTCAGGAATGCAGTTTTTCTTCCAAATGAACTAACCAACTGCTGACTCCGAATCTGGCTTCATTTTCCTCTGGTTTGTGTTTTTACATCTGTTTCTTTCTTCACAAGGCTGTCCCAGCTGCTTTTCACCCTGGTCCCCACTGCCTCAAGCCTGGCACAGAAGGCTTCCTCCTCCAGCAGCCCTTGCTGGAATCCTCTGCTTCCTCTCCCGCCCTCTTTCTGTGAATATTTCTTCTTATGTAACACTTCCCAACCATTTGACTTTACATGTATTCCATATCTGCTTTGCAAATTCTTCACATATTTCTGTGTTCTCACTGGACTATTGCTTTCCTGGGCAGGGGTGGGGGAGGACAAACTCATTTCTTTCTCGAAGTGCTGGGGACCCAGGATGTCTCACACACACTACGCAAGCACTGAACCACACCCTAGGCCATGCTTTCTCTTTTATAGAGTTTTCTTCGATATTCCCACCCCTGATTTATCTCCTTTCCTAAGTGGCAGATGACTTCTCAGTGGGGACAGGAAAAGTCTTTGACTCATTTCAAACAAGTGTGCACTGAGTTCTTCAGATAACACCATCAGATGACGCAGTTAATCCTTGAGCACTGCTGCCTTTCTTGCTGATGTAACTGGTCAGAGACCGGGTTTGCATGGTTACGACATTAATATGGGATGGATACCTCTCACCTGTTCAAATACCCAGTTTAAGTCTAAGCCTGACTGAAATGTGGGCAACTAGTACATGAAACACTGTATGCTCCTTAGAGGCTGGAGTTAGTCTGTGAAATGGCTTCCCAACATTTTTCAACAGTCTTTTAACTATCATCTCATCTTGAAGGCTGTTATCAGCCAGACCCAGCACTCTGGAGGCACAGGCAGGAGGATCTTTGTGAGTTTGAGGCCAGCCTGGTCTATAGAGCAAGTTCTAGGACAGCCAGGGGTACCCAGAGAAACCCTGTCTTGAAAAACCAAAATGGAAAAAGAGAGGGTGGGGGATGTTATGGTATTCTTAGCTATCTTATAGCTAAAATAATAATAACCTGGTGAGATTATGGGAAAACCATGACAGAATGGCTCCGACCTACACGCTATCTCCAGGAGTACTGGCAGTTTAGGTGAGGGTTAGTTCTATATAGGTGCAGTCAGGTACCAGAGCAGTCATGAAGGGGTGCACTGAGACAGCCTTGAGGTATTAAGACATAATGAGAAAGGCAGGTAGAGAGTGACTGATCAGTATTGAAAATTTAAAATGATGAGGATGACAGATCAATTGGAAATTCTTAAAGAAAGAGCTGCCCAAGGGTATGAAGAAAGGCCAGATAACATTTTGGCATCAAGTGTCTCACTTCTCAGTCTAGTCTGGAGAAATTACTTGACCCTCTTAAGGACAACGTGCCATAGAGCACTTAATAATGTTCTGGAGAAGTCCAACAGTGAGAGCATCTGCTCTTCACTAGTAGCTGTCTTAGAAAACGATTGAAGGAACCCCTTCCTCTCGTGTGAGTGTGTGAGTGTGTGAGTGTGTGAGTGTGTTTGTGTGAATGTGTGAATGTGTGAGTGTATGAGAGTGTATATGTGTGAGTGTGTATATGAGTATGTGTATGTGAGTGTGTGTGTATGTATGTGTGTGTGTGGGTAGGCCAGCAATCAAAGTTGGGTATCTTCCTCTATGGTTCTCACGTAGACCGTCTCACTGAACCTAGAGCTCACATTTTCACACAGACTGGCTGGCCAGTGAGCTCTTAAGATCCAGATGTCTCTTTCCTTCTCAGCACTGAGATTACAGTTGTTCACCACCACGCTTGGTATTTTATAGGGGTGCTGGGGTCTGAATTCAGGTCCCTACACTTGCTCAGCAGGCGCTTAACCTACTGATCAATTTCCCAGCCCCAATATTAAGGAAATTTTACACAAACTGATTTCATTTACAGCACTGGTTAGCCTTACTAAGGGTAGAAATGCATTTAGAGGAAAATTATGGATTCTCTATCTGAAGGGACATGCCAAGTTTGAAAAAGTTAACTTGTGAACACTTTGAAATTCCTTTATGTTTTAGATAGTTAAAAGAAAAACAAAACAGCTCAATTCCAGGTTTCAATGCTAGGTCCCAAATGTTTAGTTAATATTTAAATGATTATTAATTTGTTTTACAGATGGACTGAGTTAAATCCCGAGTTTAGACGTGGAGAAAAGGAAAGTTTGGTGACTATGAAAATTGTAGAACATGCTTGGAAATGATAAGGACGGTGAGATAAATCACAGACTTTGGCTTTGTCTCAAGAACCTTGCATGGGGCTGGAGAGATGATTCAGCGATTAAGAACACTGGCTGCACAGCTGCCTGTAACTCCAGTTCCAGGGGATCCAAACACATAAAATAAAAATAAATAAATTACAAAAAAGAAAAAAAAAGAGAACCTTGCAAAGCACTTTGCATGCATGCCTGTTTCCCAGTCCTTATTCTAGTCGTATGTTGTTAGCGATTATGAATCCTTGAGAGAATGGAAGCTGAGCCTTATCCGCTTCAACTCTCCCAGCTGATAGCCCTGGGTGGAGGAGAACACGCTCTCCAAGGCCTCAGAAGCTGCAGTCTCTTGTCTTTGACAGAAAACACTTTGATCCTGTTCTTGACAGTCAGCGCTTGGTGACAATAACTTCCAAAAATAAATACTAGCTCCCAAAGGCACATAAATCTTTTCCGTTGGCTCTGTGCGGGGGTGGGGGGGAGGTTGGGGGGTAGGGGTGGGGGAGCTTGGGGGTGAGGGGGTTGGGGGTAGGGGTTGGGGGTGGGGGCGGGAAGGATGTTGTGCTGCATAGGGTGGTCTGAGGTTTCCTAAGCTTTTTTCATTTTGTACTTTTTGTTTTGGGGTCTAAACATCACTATCCAAAACAACAACAACAACAAAACAAAAAAACAAAACCAAAGGATCAGCATTCCAGTTGGCGCCTGACTGAAGTGGTCAGGAGGTTCCGGTGGCATTGCAAGGCACGATGCGATGCGGTAGAGATCACCAGGGCGTGGTGCCTCCCATCCCGCATCTGCACTGATGCCTTGCTGTCAAAGTGGTTGGTAGGTTCGTGACACCCCTCAGAGCACTCCTTGGATTGTGCTCCATCCTGTGTCACGAAATCACTGCTTCTTCCTTTTCCCATAACAAGGATAAACATGATCACATTTTTTTCATGAATTATTTTGTAGACTCATTCCTGATGACGTCCAAGACGGTTGCCCCACCTGCCATGACTCTGTCTTGTGCATAACAAAACAAAACCCCTCCCTATCAGTCAATAACAAGGGTGGTGTGGGAATCAGCTGAGTGGACAGTTGTTTCCACGGTGTAAGAAAAGGCTGTGTCCATAAATATCATACTGCCCTCAGCACCTGTCAGTATCATTCTGTCACATTAGTGAGAGAGTCTGTCCTTTAGGGCACATTGTGCTTTCTTCCAGTATCCTTTTTTAAATGCCAGAAGCAGCTGGGCATTGTGGTACAGTCCTCTACTCCTAGGCAGCATATGAGTGGCTGA